TAGGATCCGAACCTGGGGCCTTGGTGTTGTCAGCACCACACTCTCCCGAGTGAGCCACGGGCCGGCCTCTCTGTGGCTTTCTCCTGCCTGTCCACTCCTGTCCTGCTCCCAAGAAGGATTTATAGACTCCTTGGTGGGAAGGGAGGAGAGCATTGAGGTAGTGGTGCCCATTCAGAGATGCTTTTAGCTGGTCTGGGCATCCCTGGGGTCATGAAATCTGGGAGCGGAAAGAGATAGTTGTCATCAGGGATTTGGTCCCTACCCTGAAACTGGGAATTGTGTCTGGGTACCAGCCCCAGGAGAGTTAAAGGACTGATGCAGCAGCAGGTACCCCCACATGTGAGCTTCTGTACCTCAGGGTCCCCCACCTCGTGATGGTGTCCCACCACAGTCACCCAATTCTCTGTTAAACCTTTGCCTGGGGTCATCTGCATCTCCTCCTCCAGTGGTGTCACCATTGGCCAGTCACTTCGCATCATGGGGCCTGGAGCTTCCCCATCTCTAAAATGGGAACATTAACAGTACCTGCTTGTTGTGGGAGGTTGAATGAGAACACAGATATGAAAGTGTTTCCCAGCCTCTGGTCTCCAGTTCGCTTCTTGGACACTCCCAGGAATAAGGGGCAAGAGGCAGCACAGCCCAGGGACCGAGAGGCTCAAACCCAGCTTTGCCATGAGTTAGCTGTGCTGCTTGGGCAGCTTCCTGACCACTCTGTTCCTCAGTTTCCCATCTGTAAAGCCAAGGTAACAATAACAGTACCTGCTTCAGAACAGTTACAAGAGTAAATACATCAAAGGAGACATAGAACAGTGCCTGCCACACAGTAAAAGAACGCACAAAGGTCAGAGTGCATGGGTGAGACTGTGGGCCGGCACAGGCAGGCAGCCCACCCAGGGTCAAGGAGGCTCAGCAGTGACAAGGCTGACGCTGTGGCACTGAGGTGGCGCCTGCCTCGGACAGGCCCCCTTACATGTCCTGCAAGGGCCAGAGGCAGGCAGAGCCCACGGCCGGGCGGGTGGGCAGGCGTGGAGCTGGGAGCGACCCAGCAGTCTGTGAGCGCGGAGGGGTGTGCGGCCAGGCCCTTCCCGGCAGCTGGGTGAATCCCAGAGCCGGCCACTCTTCTGCTGGGGTCTGGAGCCAGCCACTCGCCTGTCCAGGTTCGAGCATCCCTGCCCTTCTTCCCTCTCATCTCCCTCGTGAGGCTTGAGTGGTCCAGCAACGTTGAAATCGCCTTTAAAAGCTACACTTTTATGGTGCAAGGTGTGCTCTACCGTATTCTCCTGCTAGGTATCAAGTCATCGCGGGTAAGGGTTAGTCCCCTTGGGCACTCATTCCTAATCCCTGTGCTCCCACAGGGTGTACTGTTTGTGGAGCTGGTGCCCTTTTCTCACATGGGGATGGGACACCAGGGTGACGCTGTGGACAGGGAGCTCAGCAAGAGGCCTGGCTTGGTGCTGGGTGCTCTGGTGCACCCAGAGACGGCACCTACCCTGAGCTGTATTTCCCGGCTCCAGCCACCTCCGAAGAGCAGACTGGGGGGAGGTGTGAGTGACTGGTAGAGTCACCCTGAGGGGACTTGGGAGGCATGTCTGGGGGTGCAGGGATGAGCCCCACCCACCCTTCCGAGATGTTTAGGGATAGCTAGGTGAGGAGGGACAGGAGGCTGAGCCCATCTGGCCTGCCCCACATCCCACCGCTTGGTCCCCAGTCCTGGTCCTGGACGCACAGAAGGGTGCATGGAGGGGGGGGGGAGGAGAGGTGAGCGGGCTCAAAAACACCCCACCTGTGAGAAGAGACACTGTGAGAGGAGACACAGAGGCTGGCTGGCAGGGAACGTCTCCCTGACAGCAGGCCCGGTCCTGAGATTAACGGGACTGTTCAAGCTAAACGCCAGCTCCCT